TTATAGTCACCCATTCCTTCAAAAGCCTTATTGCTCACTTTAAATGGATTTATAATCTCATAATTGGTTTTAAGTTAAATTTTTTTTATATTTTGGTTAAAACAGATCATAAATGAATATCTGTCTCGAGAAATGTGAAAAAAAAGCCATCATTGCCAAAAAAGTTTATTTATAGTCACTCATTCCTTCAAAAGCCTTATTATTCACTTTAAATAGTATCGTAATCTCATAACTAATTTTAAGTTGAATTTTTTTGTATTTTCTATAAAAACATATTATAATCGAATGTTTATCTTGAAAATGTATATAAAAAGCCATTCACTGGCAAAAAAAATTCATTTATAGTCACCAATTCCTTCTAAAGCCTTATTACTCACTTTAAATGGTTTTGTAATCTCATAATTGATTTTAAGTTGAATTGTTTTGCATTTCTAATTAAAATATATTATAATTGTATGTTTACCTTGGAAAACATGAAGCAAAAGTGATCCATTAGCATAAAAAGTCCACTAATAGTCACGTAAATTTTCAAAAGACTTATTATTTGCTTTAAATGGTTTTATAATCTCATAATTGATTTTAAGTTGAATTTGTTTATATTTTTTGTTAAACAGATTAAAATTGATTGCCTGCCTCAAAGAAAGAAAAGAAAAAGGCATTCATTGGCAAGAAAAGTCCATTTATAGTCACCCAACCCCTTAGAAGCCTTATTAATCACTTTCAATGGTTTTGTAATCTCATAAATGATTTTAAGTTGAATTTTTTATATTTTTGGTTAAATAGATTATAATTGAATGTCTGCATTAAGAAACGTGAAGAAAAAGCTATTCATTGGCAAGGAAAGTCCATTTATAGTCATCTATTCCTTCAAAAGCCTTATTGTTCACTTTAAATGGTTTTGTTATCTCACATTTGATTTTAAGTTGAATTTTTTTACATTTTTCATTAAAACAGATTATACTTGAACGTTTACCTAGGGAAATATGAAGAAAAGGCCATTCATTGCCAAGAAAAATCTATTTAT